ATCATGTAAGTCTCTGTTCTATGACACAATACGAAATTCTGACTTCATATCAGAGTGGCAACATCTGAAAACGGTTGGACCAGTGACTTCATTGGCACTGAGTGGTTCATCAAGAGCTTTGTGTTACGACTTGGATGGTATCTGTTGGCGATGCTCAAACAGAGCTTGTGTCGTCAATGGTCTGTGGACATCCTTGGGCTAGCCCAAGGTTAGGGGTCGTACTTGGCGTGTCTCCGGCAAGTACGATTTGACGCCTATGTCCAAATCGAGTAGCTTATGTCACGCGGGTGCGAGACAATAAGCTAAATCGGCCTAGGCTTACGACACCCGAAGGTTAGTCGTAAGGATCGTCGTTAATTAGAAGGACAGAAGTCCGACTAGTTAACAGGGGCTTTGCTCGTCGACGAAGTCGATGAGTAAAGATCGAGACTATAGGCTTATCCGCGATGAGCAGATAAGAAGATAGAATATAGACTGCTGGCGAGGCAGAAGGATCACTCTGGTGAGAGTAGGAGGTCAAGAACCAAGTAGATTCAAGTTAGGGAATATGGTACATGGTAGCGAGTTTATATAGAGGACAGGGGACGTATTAGTGGATGATAACTCGTACTACTGGGAGAGGCAATCGTTAAAGGGTAAGACCATAATAGGAAGGCACGTTCGATCTAGGTAGAACGTGCTGGATAAGAAAGTGAGTCAGAGATCAGAATGAGAAGTGAAACATGCAGGGGCACGATCATGCAACTGCGGATCTAAGTATAAGTCACATGTGCGACTGCGCACCGAGTCAGAGATCAAGAAAGGAAATGGGATGCGTCGTGCATCGTATCATAGGTTACCATCCAGATGGTAAGGGCAGGGGGACTGTCTGCAGGATCAGTCAGGTGATGGAACGGAGCATGGGTATGCTTCGTCAGCGAAAGGATCCGGCCAGATGTACTGGCTTTGCTGAAGCGACAGGTAGAGGGCGAAAGGGAATGCAAGGATGACGAGGATGACAAGGGTGAGGTCGGGGTAAGGGTATGATGCGAGGGCTGATACGAGGAGGATCAGGAGAAAAATAGTAGGGGCCCAAGCGTCTAGATGTTCTTGTAACACTTTGTGCCACAAGCTAAGGAACAAAATTCATCTGGTCAACCTATCCTTCTGATATACGATGGACACTGTTCCCATGAGACAATTAAGCTTCGTCAGGCAGCAGAAGAGCATGGAATTCACCTTTTCTGCCTACCCCCCCCCCCCCCCCCCACACACACACACACAACCCACTGTTTACAAGCCCTTGATGTTGGCATTTTTGGTCCTCTGCAGAGGCAATGGCAGAGACGCTGAGAAGTAGTGATGACAGACACAGGAGAAGGGATTAAAAAGCGAAATGTGATTCAAGAGTACATGAAGGCGAGGGCGGATACATTTAAACAGGAAACAATTCTACAAGCATGGAAAAAAAAGCGGAACTAGACCAATAAACCCCAGAATATTCACAGAGGAGGATCATGTACCAAGTCACAAATCATCAACCAAGTTGCACCTTTCTGCCACCTTTCCTATCAATCCTACTTTCCCTGATCCCAGTAATGAGTCAGACAAAACATACAAGCCATTAGGGAGTTCATCAGACACATCAGGAAAAAGGGAATTTTTCTTAACAACACTTATGGTGACTTGAAGGTGATTCTAAGTAAGATTCAGTAGAATTCTGTCAAGTACATCATTGCTTAAAACAAGTAGGGTCTTCCGATGAATATGACTTATTGTTACACTTATCAGCGCTTGACATAAGTACACAGTTAAGCAATGACATCAAGTGTGACTCGTCATGTCAGATTCTCTCAAAGACACATTGTAAGCTAAGTCAAAATAAGCAGACTAGAAGTAGAGGGATTCAGCTCTAAGCAGCCACATAGATCCAAGTATATATTTATATTTTGTTTTTAAGGCTCCCAAGGTTACAAAATCAACGGTAAGTGTAGAATTCAGACAATAAAGTGATGAGAATCATGTGTATTCATACCATGCAAAAAACATCCAAGCATATCTTTCATTAAGACTCCCAAGTTCTACACAGTCAATAGATAAGTGAACAATTCAAGCACTCACAAAACCAGTTCAAGTTGGATGTATACCATTAAGATTGTGATCAAGACAAAGCGGTCAGGGAAAGCATCAATTCAAGTGGTGACTAAGACAAAATGCAAATGAAGACAGCCAAGCAAAGGAAATAAGCATGATCATAAGAACTGCCAGAGTTGAATCAGGTCAGTAAGTGAATACAGTGCTGGTAAGCAAACCACCAGCAGAATGACAAGAACAAATATTACTACTCCATGTCAGAGCTATCTGAGTCTTCGGACCCAGACTCGGACTCTGAGATGTCCACAAGCTGGGCGTGTTCGTCGAAGTCTTCATCATCCACAGCATCATCAACGGCTCTATCATTGCCAGAATGATGGCTCTTCTTGGAAAATTCCTTCGCAGAAGTGATGATGGCTTGGAACTTCTCCTCTCAGAGGCTTTTCATGATCAACTTCACATATGAGCGCATGGAAGAACCCCAGGTGACGTCATTGAGGCCCATTTGGCAATTGGAGACTTTGCCGGTTGAGTGATTGAGCATCTTTGGCAAGGGTATAGATTTGCCCTTGACAGCGAGAACCATTTCAATGGTTATGGTATGAGTAGTGATAAGCGTCAATGCTCGTTCAACCTAGTAGAAACAATGAGTGATCAGTGAGGTGAGATTAGAAAATAAAATACAAATATATTACTGCAGCACATGACAGTGCTAGACCCCCAGCAGGATTCAAGTCTTCTCCTGGCTTGTCTAGTAGTCCATGTATCTTGCAAGCGCCAAACATTTGCACCATGAAGACACCTTGATAAAGGCCACAGAACTTCTGTATTGCATGTTAGTACTAGTGGCACAGCGACAATAACAGAGGCAATGAATGGAGATAGTGAGAAGCACGTACAGATTTATCATCACCATTTGCCTTCTTGTACAAGAAGTGAAGCTTGTCCAGCGCATAAGTAGTGAATTCAACGAGATTATCATTCGAGTGCTTGAGTGTGTCCTGGGACTCGAGGTATGTGATGACGATTGCAATGGCTGCTGAGCTGATGAAGCTTCGATAGGAGTCAGCAACACGCTGGACAGTCTATAGTACCAGGTTGAAGTTAGTATTGCCATTGAAACATATGAACACACTTACTATGAGATACACAGTGCTCGTGCTCGTGACTGTGCACGAGATGTTGAGAAAAATTGTGTCCCAGATCACCTGAAATTTCTGGCAGGCCAACTTGGAGGGAACCTCCCAGGGGTTAGCCAGAGTTGCAACATATTGCATGTAAGTAGAAACAAAGACATGGCACCACAGATTTTGTTCAACACCATCTGGGAGATCGTTGTTGCCAGGTTTCTTCATGCACTTGGCTTGACGAGCTGGGGGCTTGCCAGGCAAATCCTTGACGAGAGCCTGTATGATATGATGCAGTTATATTATAAGGTCAACAACTGACTTTAATGTTTAAAAAAATAAGAAGACACTTACCAAACTTGAAACCTGTTTTTTCCCTTTGGGAGGGCTAGCAACTGCGGCTTCTCGTTTGATACCCTGGGTCTCATTTTCATCTGAGAGTCCTATGAGTCCATCATGGAGTTGGAGAGTATCTTGCTCTTTCAGTTCCTGCATGATGGGGATAGTAGTTTGAGAAATTAACACATTTTCTGTCAGAATCGAATTGGTGGATGGGCGAGTGCTGGCATTGGTCAGGGGGGAAGGCGGTGTGAACTTGTGCTATTTTTGAATATGCTGGGCTGGCTGGTGGTGGCCTTAGTACTGGGCTTTGCATTTTTCGGGATGCTTGCTGCCCAATTGTTAATGCCAGTGGAAAAGTCCTTGCCATTGGGAGTCAAGTCACTGAGGAAAAAGTAATATAGAGTTATTTCGTTGAGAGTGAGCTCAAGCATGATAAAGGGTAAGAAGAAAAGGGCTTACCTTTTCGAACTCAGTGGAATCCGTTTCTCATCAGAATGCGCTTGATGGCTAATGCTAATCTTCTTATCATCTGCCAGATCTGCCTTTCCCTTCTCCTTCTTCTCCTTCTCCTTCTCATTCCCTTTGCCCTTCTTATCAACACGACCTGGAGCCCCGGCTATAGGAGTAGCACCACAGTCATATTCACTCAAGACGGGCATGGTCCACTGAGATGGCTGCCTTCCTGGAGGGTGACTGGTGATAGGTTCATCCAAGTTGTTGTTCAAGTGAGCAGCCGGAATTGACTGTGTTGATTTTTTACTGGTGGCCTTCTTAGATGCCTTTGTTGAAGGCTAATCAACAACCATAGCATCATCATCCGGCTGAACAGATGCTGGCTGTTTGCTGGGAGCTTTCTTCGGTGTTGCGTCGACAACAAGGATGTCTGAGTCGTCTGAGTCGTTTGAGTCATCGGAATTGAGGCTGATTGTGCTGTGAGGTGCAGCTTTCTTCCTATCTGCAGCCTTACTCTTCCCTAACATATGAGTTTGCTGGACCACTTTGATACCATCTCATACAGAACTCTTCGTCATCTTCCCTGCCTTCTTCCCGCTAACTTTTGTCTTTTTCCTGGGCGGCGACGACAGCATTTCACTATCAGACCCATCTGTGTCTATGTCCGAGGTCACCATGCCTGAATGTTGGGTTGGATCAGGGTTGAAGGCACTACTATCAGCAGCCGCATCATCCATCTCAGCAGCTGCACCATCTATCTCAGCATCTGACAGAAACCTGTTGTCCTCTGCAGCGGGAGTCTGTACAATTACCTTCTGTTTGCAAGGGATTGGCTTTGGCCTTGGCCTTGGTACCAAAGGTGCAGCTCATGCATCACTCATCTTGGCATCTGAAGGAGGCGTAACCTTCTTGGTAGCAGGAGGCGCCACAACAGCCTTCCTCTTGCTTGGGATTGGCTTTGGCTTTGGCGGCGCAGCACACGGTGTAGCATTAGTCATCACATCCTGGTCTGCCTGGTTCTTCTCATATTGAGCAACATGTTTGATGCTAGCTCTCTTGGTGCGTTCTTTCTCTTCTTTAGCATCTAACTTAGACTGACGCTCAGCAGCTACTTCTTCTGCAGTATGGTGTTTCTTCTTCGGGGTTATGTCTGGGATACCCAGATGCTGAGTTGCATTTTTTGCACAAGTGACATGTCAAGTAGACATAGCTGTTAGTTGTGTGGTGACTTCACACTAGATAGGTCGAAGACTTCTAAGACTTCGAAGACTTGAAGGACACTTCAAGGACATTACTATATTAGTAGATAACTTCGAGGACTTCGAGGACACTTTGAGGACAAACCTCTAAGACACTTCAAGGACACATACCATACTAGGAATTGTTTATATTTGTTTACATAGACTCGCCCATAGTGCAGAGTTCACAAGTCTTACATGCTTTGTGCATTGACTTTGAACTCTCAGTTATTCTAACAATAGCAGGAGTAGATGGGGGCGAGCTTGGAGGATGCAAAGGCTTTATCAAGAAGATGTGTTTACAAGTAAGATGTTTGAATCGGAACTTCTATGTAATTTGACTTGCTAATTTGCCATGCCTCAACAGCATGCTCTTCGGGCTGAGTGCCTGAGTTCTGTTCCTTAATATCTCCATGCCTTCGACCATATACTTCTACTTATCAATGTTGGATTCTTTCTGAACTTGCCAGTGCTTGAAGAAGACGACAGTCACTAACTATCAACATCAGTACCAACAATTCAAGTTGAAATTTTCATTGGTGACCAACATCCTAGTACTAGTAATGTTTCCTCTAGCTCCTAGTAAACTGTGGTGTGCTGACTGCTGTATTATAGATGCTACTATGTTTGCCGCAACTCCCTGCCTCAGAAGATTGGAAGGATCAGGTGCACCTTGTGTGTGTTTAGACTTGAGGGGGGGAGTCTCACTTCTGCGGCCTTCGCATGTCAAACACATTCTGTCATGCTCTTGGCCTTCCTCTCATCAAGGTGGACAATTATGATATGCTTAACTTGAATGGTGAGGTTTCCAGTTAATGTCTGGTTGGTAACTGTGGTGCACTGACTGCTGTGTTATAGATACTATGTTTGCCACAACTCCCTGCTTCAAAAGATTGGAAGGATCAGGTGCACCTTGTGTGTGTTTAGACTTGAGAGGGGGGGGGAGTCTCATGTCTGTGGCCTTCGCATGTCAAACACATTCTGTCATGCTCTTGGCCTTCCTCTCATCAAGATAGGCAATCGTCTTCGCATGTCAAACACATTCCATCATGCTCTCGGTGGTGGCTGGAAGTTATTCATGGGCATGCCTTGCATCAACCCTGAACACATCGTGTTGTGTGGCTGGAGGTTATTCATGGGTGCACCTTGCATCAACCCTGGGCAGATCATGTTACCATTGGCTACTTGTAAGTACTCACATGCATGATGTTCTTCTGCACATTTACCAGGCCTTGTATAAAGTTAACTCGAAGTCACACCTCCAACGCCAGACTCATGGGCCCCATTTGAGTCTACAATACCATCGGCACTATCTTATGATGTGGGCCAATGGCAACCTTCATGTGCACAATATACACAATCTTGGCCGCCCTCAACCCACGCTACCATGCCTAGTGATGGGCTGTATCTGCTGTGTTTACAACAGGTCAGGGCACACCACTCATATGCAATCCCAGCATCCACTGGCATCTGAAGAACCCGAAGTCCCGTCATCACACCATTCCTCCTCCAAGTTGAGTTCACAATGTTCCCAGTCATCCCGACCTGGCACCAGACATGCTGCAACAAGCTCAGCATGCATGCATTCATGCAGCCCAACTCAGACTAGCGCAGGTGACGAACAACTTGAAGCACCTGGGAGTCGCAACGATCAAATGGAGTGTGACTTGCCAGAGTTGGATGGACATGGGTATGGCTTTCATGATGATGCTGCCAATGAGGCAGGTATGAACAGCTCAGATCAACATCCTTCAAGTGGTGCTGGTTCCATTGGCCAGGCGAGTCAAGATGGTAGTGTTCCTCTTCAAGTTCCTGGTGTTACCAGAACATATCATCCTAATATCAATGGTGCGTATTAATTTCACTTGATGCTCATCCAAACTTGTGCTCACTGTATACTCTTCTCCATGAAGGGAGAATTTGCGATGAACACAGAGATGACATACCACCGAATACTCTGCCACCTCCACATCCATCAAATCGTGGACCAGACAACTGGACACCATATGCTAATCAAGTCAAATTTGAAGTCGCAGACTTCCTCTACCGTCGCAACCAGATGTTGGGAGGTGATATCGACTTTATATTCAACCTGTGAGCCACCTCATTAGCGGCTCATGGTGAAACACCACCCTTTGCAAACCACATTGAGATGTACAACATCATTGATTTGATGCCTCTAGATGACGTCACCTGGCAGACTTTTTCCTCTGAATATAATGGTGCTCTACCTGAAGGTGACATTCCGACATGGATGACATCCAAGTATGATGTGTGATTCCGAGATCCTCGGATCCTTGTGCACAACATTCTCTCCAACCCAGACTTTGAAGGTGAATTTGACTATGCTCCGCTACAGGAGTATGATACCAGCAACAGAGCACATTGCTTTCAGGACTTTATGTCCGGTGATTGGTGTTGGAAGCAGGCCATAAGCCATTCTTTATCCTTTTTCCAATTTTCTCATCTCTCACAATTCACAGAATTTGATTGCTGAGAATCCCAATACAATTGGATCTATGTTCATTCCAATAATCCTTGGCAGCGACAAGACTACTGTCTCCATTGCTACTGGACACAACCAGTACTGGCCGGTTTATATGTTGATTGGCAACATCCGCAACAATGTGCAACATGCACACCACAACGGTGTTGTATTGCTGGGCTTCCTAGCCATCTGACAAGTACATGTTTCAATTTGATGTTGTCTGTTGCTGGCGCTAATTAGATGCATATATTTAGCTGACAAGGAGTCTGCCAAAGATGCACACTTTCGAAAATTCCGCCATCAGCTTCTCCACTCATCACTGGCAAAGATGCTGGAATCCCTCAAACCAGGTATGACAACACCCGAGGTTGTATGCTCCCCCAATGGTCATTTTTGACGTGCGGTGTATGGTCTTGGACCATATATCGCCGATTATCCCAAGCAAGCATTGCTCGCTTGCATCGTTCAAAACTGGTGCCCAAAGTATGTATTTCTTCATGTTATGCTAGTACTGTCTACTTACTACACATCCATCCAGATGTACTGCTCCAGCTGATGGTCTTGACAATGGTACCTATGGTCGGTGTTCCCATGACCATACCGAAGTCTTGGTAGAGGAATTTGAGTTAGGTGTGCTATGGGATGAATACGGACTTGTAGGAGACATTGTGGTTTGTACCTTCATTATTATAGTCATTGTGCAAGCTGACAAATTACAATATACGTGTTCTACAGCCATTCACCAACTATTTCCTGCAAGCCGACATTCACGAACTCCTCTCCCCCGACATTTTACATTAGCTGATAAGGGGTGCGTTCAAGGACCATATTGTCACCTGGGTCCACAAATACATTAAGGCTCAGTACTCAGAAAACGAGGCGAATATAATATTAGATGATATTGATCACCGGTAAGTCCAATTTTGAACATGCTGGGTTACAATGACTGGTATTGATGCACTCTACAACTAGTATTGCTCTTGCTCCCTCATTTGCGGGCCTTCAATGATTCCCAGAGGGAAGGGGCTTCAAACAATGGATGGGAGATGATTCCAAAGCACTTATGAAGGTACGTTCGAGTCAATGAATGGGTGTTCTATTATCATGAGTAGTGTTGACTAACGTGTATTTTTACTACTATAGGCGTATATACCTGTGATTGAAGGCCATGTACTTCCAGAGATGGTGCTGACTTTGCAAGCCTTGATTGACTTTGTGTACATCACATGGTGCAATATCATCGACTCCAACAGCCTCAATGCATTGGATGATGCACTCAAGTGTTTCTACAGGCACTGCAAAATATTTGAAACATCCAGTGTTCACCCTAATGGATTCAACCTACCTCGACAACACTTGCTTATCCACTACCACAAAATGATCTGATCGTTTGGCACACAAAACGGACTCTGTTCTTCCATCATGGAATCTAAACATATCAAGGCTGTCAAGGAGCTGTGGCGACGGTCCAGTCAGTTTGAAGCCCTCAATCAGATGTTACTGACAAATCAATGTCTAGATAAGTTAGTGGTGTCTCGTATCGACTTTGCTAGCCGTGGGATGCTAAGAGGAACATGTCTATCATGTATCCTTGACAAACTTGGTACATCTACTAGCATTTGACCACTAATATTACTAACACAAATCACACACAGGGCTAAACGCTCCAGTGCACAACACAGAAGCCATTCAAGTCCAGCTCGAGGACGAGCCTATTGACATTCCCCATCTCGGATGCAACAATCACGTGAATGCCAACTTGGAGGCTGATGCAGACCAAGATGCTGAGCTCGAGGGTGATGCTGTTGCTGGACCAACAGTGATAGCTCATGTAGACTTGGCAAAGAAATCTGGTGAGTGTAGTAGTACATTCACCTGGTGTGCTTTTTACTTACAATGAATTTTTATGTAGCAAAACAGATCTACACAGACCTCCTTGCAGATCAAATTGGTGAACCGGAACTTACCACTCATATTCAGCGATTTTTACATGACCAGCTCCATCATTCTGACTCCAACTCAGAAGCCTCAGAGGCTGGTGCTGGCTCATCCAGTGCCCTTCCCCAACTACATAAAAAAATAACTCTGTACACATCTGCCATTGCCACCTTCTTCACTCCAAGTGATGTCTCAGGCATTGGTGGTATGCACTATGAGTGAATTTGTGCTGTGGATACCTGGAGGAATGGCCCTGGTCGATATGACTGTGTTTTCATTAGTACTGATCCCACTGTCAAGGGTATGCGTGGCTTCGATATCGCTCAAGTAAGGCTTTTCTTTTTATTTAAACACAATGGTGTACATTACCCTTGTGCATTTGTGCATTGGTTCAAACACGTTGTCTTAATAACCGAGGGTCTTATATAAAGTCATGTAAATGTAATGACACCACAATTACACTTTGGATAAGACTGCTTGCCAGTCCTCGATTAACACTGTCTACGACTTTTCCTATTTCGTGGTAGATAACATGTGAGTTCTTGGGAGGCTCGCTAAACTAATCTTTTTATAAAAATCAACCTAGCCAGAGCTTTACTTTTCTTTATTGAAACTCAAATCTCTTGTCTAGGAATAAGCTTCTAGACACGTAATTCAGTTTCTGGAATGTATTTGCCTAGGAAATCTCCTTCTAGGCTCTGGACTTGGATACTGGAACTAGTGAGACGTGGTCTCAAATATACGAAATATGACCAAGATTGCTTGGTCTATGGACACCTGACTGTGAGACAATGGTCTCAAATATACGATATATGTTCAAGATCGCTTGAACAAAGGGGACTATAACTTGACCAAGATCGCTTGGTCTATGGGACAACTAGTGAGACGTGGTCTCAACAATATGATAGATGACTAAGATCGCTTAGTCAAAGGGCACAGAGCAATGAGACAAAGGGGTCTCAAAGACAATATATGTGACCAAGAACGCTTGGTCTATGGCACTAATAAGTTTCTAAGGTAAGAAACTTATAATCTCAAGGGAATTCTTTTCCCTGCACTTGTCTCACTTCAAAGGGACTAACTTTGCAAGTGAAATATCTGAGAGGCAGATTGCTACAAATGGGAGATCATATTTTTTTGGGGGAGAATGGGCTCTCCTTATATACATTTTGTGTGGGAAAGTAACCTAGGTTCACAAACAATAAAAAATAAGGAGGACCAATCAAAATATTGGGTCAAACCCAATAAAAGAATAAAATACAAGTGAAAGATGGAGCTATGACATCATTGTGGAGCAGAACATTCTGGAATGTGGAGTAATGACATCATAATGACATCAAGAGTGACATCATTGTGGAGCAAAAGATTCCAGAACCTTCCATGAGTGAGTCAGAGTGAGTCATTGTGGAGCAGAATATTCTAGAAGGAAATGACATCATGGATGATGTCATTGTGGAGTAGAATAATCTAGAGCTTGATGACATAATATCTTTCAACAGAATACCTGCAGGAGTATCTGTGGAGTCTTATGACATCATAATGACATCATACCCTATGGGTACAATTTTATGAAGTGTCAGGTGAGTCAAAGCATCCTAATGAAAAAGTAGAGTAAAGAAACACTAGAGAAAAGTAGGTAGCAAAAATAAGACAGTTGGCAGGAATTAAAACATGGTCTTTTTGGATAGGTTTTTTATAGGCTTTGTACTTTTCTCTATGGTTTTCTCTAGCCAAAGTGAATAAGCCAAAGGCAAGGTTATACCTTAACCTTCATTTCTCTTCTCACATCAACTAGGTCTAAATGTGATTCCCATCTCACATTAGACTTTTTCTGTCAAACCGTATTCAGATCATGAAACTTGGGGAAAACTGGAAATATGAACCATGGTTTGAAACCAAGGTATGGGTTGACTAGTCTGAGGACTAAGCTAACAGACTTTATCTTTTGAGGGTCACCTAGTATTCATGTCCATGCATGATTCCCACATCATGCAGGACAACGTGCACGACTCACCAGACGAGAACACAGGAATGTGGGTAGTAGAGCCTGAAATCTACAAGGACAGTGGGACACAATTTGCCTCCGTCATTCACCTTGACTGCATTTTTCGTGTGGCACACCTTATGCCTGTATTTGGGCATGAATTTGTACCTACTTATCTCTCTTACACACAGACCCTTAATGCTTTCCACACTTACTATGTAAATAAATACATTGACTATCAGGCATTTGAGATTGCCTGGTGACGTGATACTAACTTATTCTTATTGGCTGGATAATGCTACCATTAGGACTACATATTATATACTTTGTCAGCTTGGAAGTACTTCACATAGTGTCTATTAACTTGGTTAAATCACAGCATGGTGTTGATTACTTATAAATGAACTTCTTACTTGAACACACTTTTCTGCAGCCTCCGTGCTGAATTTTGGCCATTCATTACTTACTATTATTGTGTTTCCTTTGTGAACAATCCTCCAAGCAGAAATTAAGTTGAAATGATTTGCTTCGACAACTTAGTGAACTTAACGTCGAATTAAGTCTCTGTAAGTGAGGTAAGATGGCTAAGACTTTTTCCCTTTTTCCTGATGCACTGAAAATGATTCAGAGTTAGAGTCAGATGATGAAGCCAATGCTCATGGTGATGGCAAAATACGTGTTCCCAATTCACTCTTGTCAAAACAGAAGCTGGTCCCTCATGTTTTCCTGGTGCATTCAACCATGATCCTACTGTGCATCCATTCCATTGCCACA